AAAGCTGCTCTTTGCAGGGGCAGGGGAGAGGCTGTCAGTAAAATGAATGAGCTCCAACATTACAGAAATGCTCTTTTCACCTAGACTGACTGCCTCCAACTGTAAGATATACATAAATCCAGACCCTATGGACATGGAAAAAAAATCTACAGGGCATATTTTGCATATCAGCATAATTTGACGGCCTGTGATTTCTCAAGAAAACAGAAATATGAGAAACATTCTGACAGTGCAATCTAATTCCAGAATTCTTTCAACTATGTAGTTGCTACCTGTGAGTGCTGCACATAAAAATAATTTCCCTCAACCTAAATAAAAAGGGGGTTGGATTTTTGAGGTTGTTTTTGGTTGGGGCTTTTTTGTGTTTGTTTGTTTGTTTGTTTGTTTTTGCTGTGAAGTGAAATCTCTTTTGCATCACTAAACAATATAGAGCTAAAATTTATTTTATACACAGCTCTCTGTGACAGGATATGTTCAAACAACAGAGGCAGTTTAATAAAGCTGGCATGACTTGAGGATCATTTGGAAAGATTTCTCCCATGATAACAACAACAAAGTATTAAAGTACAATTAATGTTGTTGCCCTTCATGTAATAGATATGGTAAGAAAAGGTCATCCTCTGGACTGTAAAAGCTGCTCTGAGCACAAGAGCAGCATCTTTGCAACGCATGTGATCCTCTATCCTAACCCAGAATCACATGGCAATTTTCCTGCCCCAGGGTTCAGACCAGAATAACTCTGAAAAATTATATAAAGGCAGCTGGACTTCAGAAATCATGAACGAAAAGAAATAAAAGAATCATTTTCAATATCATTGGCTAGAAGATAACACACATACAAGCTATTAAAGATAGAAAACCATGATGGGAAAAAAGCAAAAAGACTGGGTTTTATAAATTACTTTGCAGGTGGAACTTGATATTATTTTCACTTAAAATTTCCAGAACACCAATAAATATTTTCTGCTTTCAAACTTCTGGTATCTGACCAGGCAAGACAACTTCGCAATAGCATCTTTTATTTCTAATCACTAATTATCTTTCTTCTCTTTGATGGATAAATTTTTTGAGACCCAGATTTAAGATGCCAATTATCCATGACCTGCATACTTCAATGCCAAAGTGTTCAGCAACAAACTCTAGGGCAGTCTGTCCCAGCCTCTCGACAAGAGGAGATGAGTTTTTACTACTGGTACTTATGTAGGGGGCCAGATGGGAAAACCACCTTGTAGGGTTATGGAAATATGAAAGATAACAAAAAGGCAGGACAGAACTGACTTGTGAACAACCCACGGAGAGCTCTAACAGTATAAGAACAGAGATAAAATTCTGGAAAACAGAAGTCTTCTGGTTTTATTCTCAGATCAGTAAACAATGGGCCATGTGGAATAAAATATTGAGGATTACGTGGTTGGTCACTTCTTTCCCCAGTTTACCTACAAATACAGCTGCCTGCACATACACAGCTACGTGAGTAGAGGGCTGAGTTTCCAAGATTTTCATCAAATCTTCAAAGAATCTGGAACCTCTGAATTTCTGCAAATCAAACTGCAATTGTAAAGAGCCTGGTCACATCTCCAGGTTTGCTAGAGTACCTTATGGGGACCTTGTGAGAACTCACTAGGTGGGACAGGAGTTCATACAAAAGGGTATTCAGCATGGCTTACAGCCCATCCATTTCTACTCCTATAATCATGAGTAACAGAGCTGAATTTTACAGTCACTTCTTTACTTGGTACAAGAGGCAGAGCAGAGCTTAAGCTAGGGACTGTGAAAGACATGCTGCAGAAGCATCTTTTCTTACCTCCTGCAATAGTCTGTATACAAAGAAACTGCCTCAGAAGCATCTTTTCAACTCCCTCCTATTTGCATATTTATTAAACTCACATTTATCTTATTTTCAGGGGACAACAGAAATGCTTGATTTTTTAGGCCAGAGTCTCATCTCCAGCCTCCACATCTTACACCCTGTCATTTTTGAAAGACACCCTTTTTCATTTCCATCCAGTTGGCAGGCAGTTTGAGCCCTGCACTGATTGGTAGAAATTTATGGAAATTTTCCTAAGATTTTTCTCTTTCCACTCTGCACTGCCCAGCTCTGCCAGGTTTCATTCACCCCACTTATATTTGGGAGTGCTGCCTTACACGTTACCAAATGCAGCTCCACACCAGCCCATACTATAACACTGGTCTGGATCTCCATCATCTTTTGGGCCATACTGCTTGCCCAGACAGATCTGCTTCAGGTGATTTGCTAATACAATTCTTGCCAAAAAGACATCTCCCTGCTTTTTTCCAAATTTGCAAAAAGGCATCAAAAATACTGATGATTTTTGTCTTCCTGGAATATTCTCACACTCTTTCTAGGAATAAGCAAGGACATCTCTTTGCCATCCCATTAGTACACATGTGCACAGCTATAAGAAAATGCTCTGAAGGGACATCAAGCAAATAATACCAATTTTCAAAATTCTATAGCAATATATTTATACAAATTACAGAATTCTGTATGTATTTACACACCATTACAGAATATCAAGTAAATAACACCAATTGTTCTTTTCCCTTTCCCTCAGATTTTTCTTCAAGTCAATTTTAGTGCTCGAGAAAGGTGCCAGATGGACAGCACCAGAAAGTGAAGATTCCTGTTTGTCCCCAGCATGGGGGAGAGGTACTGCAAGCCTCCCTGCTTTGCCGTGTCAGCTCTCTGCAGCCCTGTTTTAGCAGGATCACATAAGGAGCAGGAAGGCATCCTTACCCCTTCACACCTTGGCAAAGGAGCTGAGCAGCACCCAGGTGACAATGGTTTCACCCATCCCCCTCCAGAAAACAAACAGAAATAGCTCATTTTACACAAGGGACTGAACAGAACCTGGTGTTTGCTACACGAAACAGGCCAAATTTGACCCAGTGAACCTGCAGGGAGTGGCAAACTGCCAGCTCCTGGGCCTTCCAGTCTTGCAATAATGCCTAAGTTAAATTACATGTTTCTATATTTACATAAAGTCAGTATTTACACACCATTACGGGTTATTCGAGTAAATCGGTTACAGTTTATTTAGGACTGCCATAAACTCATAACATTTTTCTCGAGTTTAATCCTTTCTTTAGAAAAATACAAAAAAAAATAAATTAAATAAAACATGTTAACTAGTAGTAATGATTAGCCTATGACTAAAAATCCAAGTCAATTTAACATTAAGACTTTAACTGTGGCCTAGTACTGCGGCCTCGACTCAGAGTCATTTTAACCTTTGCAAATAATTTCCTGGTGTATGTCGGATTTACTGAAACAGCAGAGGGTTGCAAGCTCCCTTCCTCGTGGTGGGGTTGATCCATTTAACACGGAGCAATGAGCCCTAGTCCTGCCCAGAAATGCCTTTTCTCCTTTTCTTCTCCCACGCTCTTTGCATCGCCCACACGAACGATCCGACTGCCCCACGGCAGCCGAACCATCCGCGGCCCCAAGGCTGTAAAATTCCCAGGCAGCAACGGTCCCTAGACAAGTATCCTACAAATCAATTAATGCAATGTACGTACCTTTACCTTTCATAAACAATTACAACAAAACGCCACGTTACGTTTCAGATTACCGACACCGCCGGCTGAGGCAGGGCTCCTCCTGCCTGCTTCAGTACGGTTCAGGACACCGAGCCACAGGTCATCCCAGAACAGAAATAAGTTTCAAATAGTATAAATCAAGTGAAGGAGAGTGCTTCAGAGCAAAAATTTCTTAATTGCAACTAGGCTACAACCTTTTACATCACTCCTCCAAGGGAGCCCCCATGCGTACGCAGGCAGCCAGGGTGTCAGGACCAGCCCTGCTCCCAACATATCCAATGGTGAAGGCTACGCTCAACTTAGTGGCACAGGATTCGAATCCTAAGGGATAAAACAACTACAAAATGCATTTGCCATATGGATCTTAACATGGTTTTTGTCTCTTTTTTTTCCCTTTTCTTTAGAGTATTAGTGGGGAAAATGCCTCTTCCTGAGGGTTAATTTCCAAACGGTAACTGCTAATGGATGTGTTTGTGTGCTTATCATAAAATGTTACATACCCTTAAATATTACGTACTGTTTCCTCACTTAGAGTTCATGAATATTTGAACATACCTTAGGAAAAACAATAAAAATAAGTCTAATACTGTCCCCCTCATTGTCATTATTGATAGAGATTTATTAGTTTCATTTTGCAAGTTTTACTTTAGGAAGGGTGCTAATATCATGTATTATGACAGTTCACACTGAAAGCAATTTTCCATAAAAGGTATTACAATGACCCCTATGGAACTTGTATAATTTCATAGTAGATAGTCAAGTGCACAAATAAACATGTTTACAAGAGTGATCCTGTTAACCTGGTTCTTGCCCTCTGAAATATTTATGTGTTCTTTGTGGAATCTTAAAATTAGTATAATTGTTGTTGGTATCACTTATGTTGTTTCTGGCATTCTCTTTAGGAAAAAAATAGCATATTTATCATTTAGCTTTGGTATAATCTGCAATAGGTTTTAACAAGTAGAATATATTCCAACCCCTATATTTTCCACAGCTGTGAAATTTACAATGATGTAAGAAGTCACTTTATCAGAGAGGAAATATTACAGACACATAAAAAAAAGTTGAAGACCCAGTTTTCTCTTTAATCCTCTGGGGTAAGCTATGAAACAAGCAGTCAGAAGAGTGAGGACTCAGTGTCATGAGTGGTGTGCATACTTGTACAATAATACGGGCACAAAAGAGATTGTCGCCTTTAGTACATGAGGGTCACTAGAATTTATTATTATTACCTTTTTATTGTTGGCTTTTGTTTTTTATCCATGCACCTTTATATTTACTTGCATGAATTTACCACAGGTTCATAGTGGCCTTTGCCATTTCAATGCTTACAGAGCCTAAAGCTTCCAAAATGCCTATCTGGCCTGTACATATTTCATTAAAAATAAACTCTATATAATAAATAAATATATAAAATAAATAAAATGTTGCCTTTGGAATTTCTATAAATAAATTTAACTTTTTATTTTTATTTTTTTTACTAAGAGGTCTTTGCTTTAAACTCAGTGGGGTGAGACCCAGAGAGCGATTAACTGAAAAGTCTCTTGTTTAAGTAAGACTGCACCCTCCATGCCTTTGTAAATGCAGCGTACACTTGAGCAGGCCACCAGCCAAAAATCCTGATGAAGTATGGCAGCTATGCTGATATATGACGAAGTACAACTGATCAAAAATTTAAAAGCGTGTCTATTCCCCAGCATGCATCAGGCCTTCCTCCTCCTCCTCCTCCTCCTCCTCACCCTCCTCCTCCCCTCGGCTCCTCTCTCTCGCGCTCTCACTCCCATTCATCCTCTCCCTTTCTCTCTCTCTCGCACTCACTCTCTCGCGCTCCCTCTCGTACTAAATCAAGCGAGTGGGCATAGGCTCTCCTCCAGGAGGACAAACCTTTAAGTGCAGAACAAAATCAGCATGTTCCATCCAAGCCTCCATCATACATTATGCATGCGACAAAGTTTGGCAACAGTGGAGCTGATGTGATGACACAGCTAATCAATAAGAACCCACCGCATGAAACCTTTATAGTGGTTACTTTTTAAGGGCTCAAGTGAAGGAATTGTCTTTGTCAACTTTGGCTTAAAATATCCTTATATAGTTCTGGTACTTTCTCAGGGTCCACTGGTCTAGGTAAAAAATGTGTAAATTTTTGATGCCGTTTAGTCCTAGTCCCTTCTCGTGGAGTCCCATCTTTATTTAACGCAACGTAGTATCGTCTTCCAGTGTCCACATGTTTATATAGATTTGATGAATATGTGTTATACCAGTTTTCTTCAAATTGCTCTCTGAATACACACTCCTGGGTTAATTTTTCCTGTGGAAAGAAAAGAAAGAGCAGTAAGGAGATAGCCACTAAAATAAGCTTCTTCTTAAAGAATTACTGTTTTATTGGCTTGAAACTGTTATCTCCTCTCCAAATTGCAGAATAAATTATTTCTATACTCCCAGTTTTAGCTATGTAAAGCTGTATTGCTGGGTGTTTCAGGAGGCAGTCAGAAGGGTGGATAATCCTATGTGAAGCAAAAATTACTCTCAAAGCCTCATTGCCCAAACCAATACAGCAACAACAAAGATAAAAATAGGCACTTTTAATTTCTGATAGCTCCCAAGCAGCTCACAAGACCTTACTGGACTTCTAAAACTAATTGTTTCAATGGTGAGCGTGGGCATTCAAACAAACAGATATAAATAAAGGAAACTAGAACCTGTTTGCAGGGCTGTAATAAAATTTACAGTCTTAAAATCTCTATGTTGTTTCAATGCATGGAGAACTTGATGCATTTCATTAATTTAAAAACATGCAATTTGCTACCCTTTGTCTGATTTATTATTTGTATCACAAAGCCACAACCCAACAGAGCTTCAAACAGTATCACGAACCCTGCGTGCTGAGATGAAGTAGGCAAGGAAAAGCCCTCCAGGTTTGCATTATCAGGGTTGTCCTTGTGTCCCATCCCACTGAGGACAGGACCCACTGAGGATATCATTCATCAGATCTCCTGCCACCACAGAATCCCATTCCTTCCAGTTGGCTCACTTCTTCAGTCTCTGTGTTGCCTTCCACATCCTTAAGATTGCTTAAAATTGCTTTTAAAAATTTGCTTAATAGAGTGCTTAAAACACAGCCACCTGATAACCAGATTCATTCTAGGAAGGACTCACACAAACTACTAAGCAAGAACACTGGGAAAAGAGGTGGTGGGCTGTAGCATGGGAGAGCTGATGGAAAGCTGGAAAAAAAGCCTGAAAATAGTTTTTTCAACAAGAAAAAAAAATAGAGATCATTCAATGTATTTTTCCATAACAAGTTCTCATTTCAATAGCACTCACATCAACCACACCCAGCTTCCAGCTGAGGATCAATTTCTAATTATTATAAAGCTCCATACAATGCATGTGTTTTACAGACATTAAATCTTAAAACAATCCTTTTAGATAGGAGCACAGAGAAAGGAAAACAGACACCAAGGCCCAGATGCAGCAAAGCATGTATGGCACCTAAGCCATAAACTTGTAGCTGAACACAACTAAGGAGCACAGCCCAAGAAACCACCTGCCATGACTTAATCCAGGAGCTTCCCAAAGTCTACCATCACCAAAGCCTGCAGCTTACAGAAGCCACCCAGGAACCATCCCATGTGGGGGAAACAAACCCCGTGCAAATGGGGAAAGGGAGCCAACACCCCTCTGCACCTGTACAAACTGAGCACTGAGCTGCAAAGACAGAGTCCTTCTCAGGCCTTCCCAAACACCTAAAGGTTTGGAATTTGGAGGGTTCTTCTAAATTAAATTTGTGGCAACTCCAGTAGGGAAGAAAGGCAGCAAGTAAGCTGCTCCTGACTTCCCCTTTAATGGGCACTGGGTACCTCATTAGCAATCAGGAAGGAGAAACCCCAGACAGGACCTAATTTCACATGTTCAGCACCTGAAAATTCACTACAGCAATGACTGTACCCCTTTGTGGATGTGAAAGCTTTTTTATGACATTTTTAGTTCAAAGTAGTTCAAACACAGCAATAGTCTATGCTGGTTTTAGGCAAAAGACACACAAATCTGTTCCCATTAAGCCTTTATCTGTGGGCCATACCCTGCAACCTCCCATTGATAATTGCCTCTATGTCCTTTGCCAGCTTGAAGCTGCAGCCTCATTGAGCATCACTGGACCAGCAGCAGCTGCCAGTTACACCCATTGCAGTATTCCCCTTGCACAGCCTCAAAAGTACAAACTATTATAAAAGGTATTCAGCTGCAGAGAAGATTATCTTTACATATAGATTTCATTAGTGTTTTATTTTGCATGAGGCTTAAAGTCATCTGTGTTTGTTTTAAGGCAGAATCAGATGTTAAGGGGTATAATATACTGGGCTTATGTAAGTCCACGGGGAAAGAAAAACTAATTCAAATTGTTTTCCTGCTCTCAGAAGGCAATAGGATCACATGACAAGCACTGCAGAAGAACTCCCTGCTAAAAATAGCAGCATTTTAGGAAGATATTTCAGTCCTGTCGTGAATTCATTAATTATTCACTTCATCTGCATTTTTTTTTAGCATCATCATAAATTTCTATCTTTGCAAGAACTATTTCCCCGTGCCCTGAAGGAGAAACTTTAAAATAGCCTCTCTTTATCTGGCAGGTTTGATGGATCATGACAGCGCTGTGGTACACGTAACTAGCAGACCCTGAATCAGGGGGTTTGCATTGCACTGCACTCTGGATGAGTTAAATGGATTTCAAGTTTACAAATTCAATCTTCGTTTTACAAGCTTATCCTATTTTAACTTTCTATTCAATTACAACACAGCTACATCTCTTTTGTCCTTCAAAATTCTCAGAAATTCATGTACAATCACGAGGCAAATAGTTCACATGATAGAGAAACCAGGATGTGGGATCAGATAGGTAGGGACATTAACAATCACCCTTTAAAAGAAACGAAATAATTTCTTTATACAGTCAAATCTTTTCCTTCCAGGAGACCTAGAAATTCTGCTTGTGGTCAGACACCATTGGAGTAAATCAGTGTTGGTGACTTTGGATTAGATCTTGTAAGTAATGTGAGACTCTACAATCCCATCATATCCTTCTCCCCATGCCCTGGAAATTCTTACAATAACATCTCATCTAGTAACAAGAAAGACAGAAGTCAACACCCATCAGGACAGTAATTTACATAGAATCACAGAATCCTTTGGGTTGGAAAGGACCTTTAAGATCATTGAGTCCAACCATTACCCAAACACTGTCGAGCCTACCCCTAAACCATGTACCACCACAGCCCTACATAATATTAATTCCTTATGCTCACATTTTAAGTATGCATGTCATTATTCCAGCTAGAAATGAGCATAACACAGGCTGGTCCATCCTGCCAACACCACCCTCTTGTCTCACCATCTTAGGAAGGGAAGCTCTTGCTGAAAACCAACTCTCCCAGTATGGAAAGGATACGGTGTTTCCTGATCACATTTCTCCTTCTGGCTATGACTTTTAGAAAGTCCCTCTATGCACACTTGAAGAGCAAGATTTAGCCCTACAATACAGCAATTTTTGCATACTTTTATTCCAGCAACTCACTCCTCTATCAATCTTCCAGTGCAAATATTTCCTTGCACCATACTTAAAGTTGCTGGACATCTTTGTCGAAAGCTGACACAAATACCAAACATACCCAACTGGAACAGCTATGGAAAGTAACCTGCATTCCTGTGAAAGGGGAGGCTGCCTGCCTTGCTCAAATCATTTAATTCAGAGCCAAATAAGGAGGTGACCTCAAAATTATATAAATCAGATGTTGCACCACATTCCACGTGTTTTCTGTGAGGATTGTTCACAGAGTAGTCAACTACAAAGGGATTGATTTTCATTTTGCTATATTTCCATGTTTCACCTGTTCGGTTTTTTAACCTGTTATTTAACTCAGAATGTTCAAATAATTGAATTGTACAAAAATGCACATATCACAAAGACAAAACCCCCAGAAAGATTTAATTCAGAAAACTGATAATGGCTGGTCAGTGTTAGCAAGCCCAGGACCCCTTTCCCTTTCTACATTCTCCACCACTTAACAAGGGAAGAAAATAATCATGTTATCCTATTTCCAGGCAGATTGATTAAAAGTCAGATTCTAAATTAATAAAGTGCATAGTTACAGGCATCACAATGAAAGTTCTGCTAGCTTGTTTTGAAATAGCTATCCACGTGAAGTAGTTAATTGTAAATAAGTAGAAACACGTAAAACACATGTACACTGCTCAGAGAATGGTTAAGAATGTACCATTTGTGCTGCTTGGTAGTTGAAAGAACAGTACAGGGTCCTGTATAAAACACATCAATACTTTTCTTTCTTTCTTTAGATAACCCTATGGAGCTAAAACTCCAATTAATTTTGTAACCTGACAAAAGAAAGCCTCTTCAGATCATCATTCCTAAAATCACAGCAAGTACCTTTCACACCAACCAAACTATTTTGTTCTATGCAGTGTATAGTTTTCCCTTTTGCAAACTGCTACACTGATCCAGTAGAGACAAGGAAACACCTAATCCAGAAGTCCAAACAACTATTAACAAGAAATATATCTGATGTAGTCAACACTTCCTACATACCTGCTGCACACCTTGTTAATCCACCCTGTCTTAATAAAAGTCATGTTTACATATATAATCTCCTGAGTAATTTCATGCAAATCCCTCATTAGGGCTACATTGCATTACTGAAAACTGCATATGTAGTGAAGAGAAACAAAGAAAAGCCCTATTCTCCTCCAGAGCAGTTTGCTTTGCTGTTCTGCCTACCAACACACATTTTACATGCCATTGGCCCTTCCCATGCTGTAATGCAAACAGCCTCTAGAATATACTATGTTCAGCTAATAATTAACACTCATCCAGAGCTGTCATAAATAAAGGTCTAGTTTAGCATTTGCTGGGGTGTTTTCTGTACTCTCATTCTAAGTCTGTTAGTTTCTGGCTGGATGAACCACCTCCAGCCACAATGAGAAGCCAAATACCAGTGTCCAAGCAGTACCACTTTCTTTTCTAAATTAGACCACAGTGTGAGTCAAGCCCTGCACACTGTGTATCTGACTTGGTGAGTGCCACAGAGCTTTCTTTGATGAGCTTCTCCAAGCAGCTTCTTTTCAGAATGCTTTGTTTGATAATTTGAAAAAAATGTGAAAAAAATAGGAGGGAAAATTGTCTGCCAAGAGGACTAGCTGACTGGTTTTTTGTGTTTGTGTTAGTAGTTCTCCAAAAGCCTTTTAGACAGACAGCAGGAAACCCTTCAGGGCCAGAGGAGAGACAAGCAAACAGTCAGG